AGTGTGTTGACCGGATGAATTCTACATTTGGTGATGAAGCCCAAAACCACAATTTATCGCTACTTTGCTGAATTTAAACGTGGACGTGTCAAGCTCAGTGATGATCCCCGTCAAGGTCGTCCAAATACTGCAGTCACCCAAGAAAACGTTGCTGCTGTGCGTAAGCTGATTGAGGAAGATTGACATGTGACATGCCGCGAAATTCAGGCAACTTTAGAAATTGGCATGAGTCAAATACAAATAAACTTTCACGAACAATTAGGTGTAAAAAAGTTGTTTTCCCGATGGATACCGCATTCGCTCTGTGAAAAGCAAAAAGCGGCTCGCGTTATTTGGTGCGTCAGAACTCTCGAAATATTCCACGCAGGATCCTCAAATGCTGTATACAACATCGTATTAGGTGACGAATCCTGGATATATGCGTACGAACCCGAAACAAAAAATCAGTCACGAGTTTGGGTGTTCGAAAATGAGTTAAAGCCAACAAAAATTGTTCGTTCACGGAGTGTTGCAAAAAAAATGGTGGCCACGTTTGTCTCCAAAACCGGCCATGTTACGACTATTCCTCTCAAGGGACAAAGAACGGTTAATGCAGAATGTTATGCTAGCATTTGTTTGCCACAGGTCTTTTCTGAACTCCGTAAAGAGAACTTCAACCGCCGCATCATCCTCCATCACGACAATGCGAGTTCTGACACCGCACACAGATGTGAGTTTTTAGAGCAAGAAAACATAGAATTATTAGACCATCCGCCGTACAGCCCCGGCCTAAGCCCTAATGATTTCTATACTTTCTCTAAAATAAAGAATAAATTGCGTGGACAGAGATTTTCATGACCTGAAGAAGCTGTTTTGACGCCTACAAAACGGCCATTTTGGAGACCCCAACTTCCGAATGGAATGGTTGCTTCAATGATTGGTTCCATCGTATGGAAAAATGTGTCAAATTTTGCGGAGAATACTTCGAAAAGCAATAAATACATTTTTAAATAGTAATGTTGTGTCACTTCCTTGATTCCCGAAATTTTCAGTAGATGCTACATGTTTTGTTTAAAAATCTGTTTCTCGTTTTTGTCTTAATTAAATTTACTTGAGGGAATATTCTTTTTCGTGCAGCGTTGGACATTGATTAGCATAGCCCCGTTGCGAAATTTGCAATACATATTAAGATTATCAACTTTACATACAATCTTTTAAACTTGTTTATTGAATGTGCTACAAACACTATACGAGAGGTACAGTGAAATCCCCCACATGCTGGCAAAGTATCTAGGGTTTTGAGGCATTTTGAGTTGCCATAATGAAATCTATTTTTAATATCCCAATAGATACTGCCAAATACTGCCAGGTTTTATATAACGTCAACCGATCATGCCAAAGGCTAAAATAAATGGCCAATCCTGCCAAAATGGCAGCAACTTGCCACATATGGTTACACTGGGCGGCAGGGAACAAGATTCAGGACGCCGATAGTTTAGGTAATTTCTTTTTACAGTAAAACAATGGTAATTAAAAAAACATAAGCCCTGCTTTATACTTAGTTCAGTTAGTATGCAAAGTTTCATGATCTAATTTAAAATATTTTGTGAATACCAGCGGTTTATTGTTCGGTTTGGAAGTGACTGAATTTTTTTTCTATCGAGAAATTTTTACGGAATCGTGTATACGTCTAACATAGTACTTAACATTGATTCTCAACTTTACCATATATTTAGTTCAAAATTAATGCTGCTATATTTTCGGCATAACGGAGCATCTTGCCAAGCCATTTGAGGTAGTAAAGGCCCTTAACCACCCCTTGCCAAGCCACTGAAACAAATACATGTGCCCGAGTATAGCAGAGTATAGTTAATTACGACGTAGTTTCACCATGTAACAACAATTCCAAGTATAAATTATATTACAATCCGTTTACACAATGAACAGTTTGTTTTCGTTTGCTTTATTTGTTTGCAAGTGGCTGCTTCATAATAGATGCGACGGTGTTGAATGAATCGTTGTATTCAATTTGAAAATTAAAATTTGCATTTTCAATAGAGGATATAACTCGATGAATTTTTATGAATATTGTGTAGTCATTTACGCAATATTAATAAAAATTTAGTACACCATAACGGACTTGTTTACTGCGGGATTTATTGAATGTTTAAAAAAATTAGAAAGTAATTTATAAAAAAAAATTGTGTAATGGTTCTATTCGGTTAGAATTTATAAAATATCAGTAAAAGGCAAAATGGCGATAGAGCCTGAAATGATAAACCCCCTAGCCTAGAAAAGGCTTAACTACCACTTGGCTTAAAGAGGTTCATACGTTCATACAGTGTTTGTTCAAGATACGCAAGATTTTATATTTCATGATTTTTATACCTGGTAGTGCCACGCTGCAGCTATATTATGGTTGTACCACGAATGGGTCGGCTTGACCGGGGAAGGACCAGGCTCTCACAGAATACCAGCGTAAAAAAACAGCTTAATACTGTTGTGTTTTGTATGTTGAGTGTAGAAAACCGAAATCCCTTTTTTACTGGAAACGAGGCATTCCATCTTAGCCCTCAGGGGTGACAACGCATCTGCATTTTGATTCTCAATCGAGGATAGATGTAGATGTCTATGGGCCACAGCATACACTTAACATCAGGTAGGCTGTGTGCTCGTTTGTCACCCTTATTCTAAAGAACAAAAGATTTATTCACATGATCCCCCAAAAGTTCTGGATTTTGATTCCAGATGAAGCGACTGATTAAGCAACATGAAGAAAAAGAGAAAAATAATGTAATAACCTACATAAGTCTCATGGCTACACTTCTGGCAACCAAATCTAAGAAATAGCTTTTGACGTGTCACACTGTGTGTGACTTCACACTCCTTGTGTGTACAAGGAAGTGTTCGCCGCGCTGCCCCAATGCTTGTTAGCGAACTTCACATGTCTTCGAAATATTTTTTCTCATTCCTCAGGTATGCAGATTTCTTCACGATATTTTCCTTCACCGCCGAGCACGTGGTAAATCAACACTTAAAATTGCAATTAACAATTTCATTGGTGCCGGCGGGAATCGAACCCGGGTTACTCGCGTTCTGTTATATTTACAGCGAGCGTTAACCATCTGAGCTACCACGCTCTTTTACGTAAATCTTTTACGTAAAAACCTTTTACGTAAATCCGAAGAATTATGCTATCTATATTTCATTACAACTTGTATAGTTTTTATCACTAGTTTAAATTCAAATCTTTTAAACAAAGCAAAATATTGAAAAAATAACCAGTTTCAACTTTTTTACTTGACGTCGTTTCAATGATATGTCGATTTGTACTTTACCGTGGTGTTTGGATGATTAAAATTCATTGTTATGCGAATAATTGGCAAAAACCCTCAAATAATCGGTAAAAATATTTAAATAATCGAAATATTAATTTTTTGATGTATTATTTGTATAAATAAATTTTTATATTTAAAATTCCTTAAACTACGAATATGAATCTTGAATAAAACATGTTTTTTTTTAAACTTTAAACCTTTAAAAGGCCGCGCTGATTTTTTTAAGAATCGAATATTGTACGTTCCCATTTTTTAGTTGGCATGCTTGGTGCAATAAGTCTGACAGCTGTCAAAATGTATTTCTTAGATTTGGTTGACTATAACTCTCCTATGTTTATACTATTATATTATATACTATATTACTGAAAAGGTTTTAAGAGGGAAGATATCACATTTATCAGCTTTTATTGCAGCGTATCTAAGCACTTTCTTCTAGTTATTTTTATTTGACTGCCTCGTTATTCTAATAGTCGTAAGCGTGATCGGTGATTATGGGCTCCCGGGTCCGCATCCGGGGTTTGACCAATAATAGTAATTGGATTTTCCTGTCCAAGCTTGGAGTAAGGAAAATGGAGATGTTTCGTCCTCTTACCTGGGAAAGTACGTAAAGACATTGGTCCTGCGGCTGATCTATCTCAAGTCGTGTCGGGTTGCTGTCACATCAGATTACGAGAGTGAGAGCATAGAGAGTGCACCTGGGCCTGCGCACACACTAGAATACTATGATCCGAATACCAATCTTCTTAGATGACTAGTCTCCGTTGAGAATGTCCGCCGTGACCAAAATTCTGTCTGGAGGACAATATATTAGCGCTAAAAATTTTAATCAACATTGTGACATGAACTTGATTTGTTCGTGTTGAAATTTTAAGGCAAGAACTTATGACCTTCTACATAAAGAATTTTGATGATGAAGAATTTCTTTTTTTACTTCTCATAATTAACTGCTTGACTACGTGAATATAAATGGCAATCTTTGGGGGAGGCATATGTTCAGTAGTAGACTTTAATAGGCTGTAACGGTAACTGCATGATTACAAATTACAATCCTACCTGGTGAAACATCGTGATGAAATCATAAAACAGAATATTCACTTTGCCTTGAAGACGGAGAGGCACACGCACGAAAATTATTCCATTTCCTTGCTTTACGAAAGACAAAGCAAACCAAGAGGGTTATGGATAAATCAGTCCGTTGCACTGCTTTAGAGTGTGATGTCAGTCCTGACGTCTCACGATATTTTCTTTCACCGCCGAGTACATGGTAAATCAGCACGTAAAATGCAATTAACAATTTCAACGCAGGTTGCTTGCGTTCTGTGAAATTAACGCCAACGCTTAGTACTTAGTTACTGCGGCTTAATTGATTGCTTAATTACATTTGACGGCTCCATTAAGTTACGGCACTTACGGCCGCGGGTTCGAATCCCGTGCGGAACAAGTATTTGTATTGGCCTATAATTCTTTGTTTCGGGTCTGATTGTATGTCCTTGTGCAATTCATGTACCTACTTAAACTGCCTTCACGATATATAAGAAATCCTTGTGAGGATGTGATTTTTTTTAAAGAAATATGATGTACTTTCATAAGCATCGTATTACGTACGCATATAAATGGGACATATTCATTAAGGCTTTATAAACTCTTGACTTGACATGAAATGACGTTCTTTTATTGTTACAGAACATGGCGGCACTCAGATCAAGGGCGGTTACATGCTGCGATACAAAAGTAAGAAATATTACAGTATTTTTTTGTAGAATAATACATCAAATTTTTTATAGAATGCAATCATTAAAAAGTATGTTGGTGGTGATTTTGAATGACAAAGTGTAAAATGGTGTATAAAGAGAAAAGTTTGGTTTGGTAAGTGGTGTAATATTTCAGTGATTTGAACACTTAGAAAGAATGAATGTGGGAAAAAGTGAAATATTGCAGAAGCGTGTGAAACAGTCTACAATGGACGCTCTAGACGGAAGTTAATTTTTTTTAATAGAATAAGGATAACAAAGGAATGGAATGCCTTGTTTCCAGTAATAAAGGGTCTCCGGTTCTCTACACTCACCATAGGAAACACAGAAGTATTAAGCTGCTATTTCACGCTGATATTCTGTGAGAGCGTTGTCCTTCTCCGGTCGAGCTGACCCATTCGTACTACAACCATAATATAGCTGCAGCGTGGCTCTACCACGTATAAAAAATGGCGTTATATTGAAGATGGGAGAGACGTGTGTCAGGATAATAATGTCCTCCAGACCGAATTTCGGCCACCGCGGTCTGCCTCAACGGTAACTAGCCATCGGCACAGGACAGGATTATAGTGCCCAAGTGTATGCGCAAGCACAGATGTACTCTCTATTCCCTCACTCTCATAATCCGATGGCACGGTAAACCGACACGACCGGAGAGAGATCAGGTGCAGGACCAACGGCTTTACGTGTTTTCCGAGGCACGGAGGTGAGACACCGCCAACTTCCTGACTCTGGGCAACTGTTAAGATTTTCTTGACGGAAAAACTCAATAATTAATTTTTGGCCCGACCCGGGATTCGAACCCAGGACCTCATGATCAGCAGTCGCACTACTGCAACCACTAGACAAACGAGTGTCAGGATAGTGCTAATATGAGCCCTTATTCTGTGTCTACTCCTATGGGTGACAGGCATGAGAGTTTGTGGTCTATGATTCTGTAAACTTACCATTTGAACAGCCACATTAAGCTGCTATTTTTCGCTTGTATTCTGTGAGATCGTGATCCTTCCTTGGTGGAGTCGACCCATTTATGCTGGAACCATAATACAGTTACAGGTTTCTATTTATTTATATTCTATTTTTTATATTTCAGGTACTTTCATTTAAAAAATATTCAAATCATCAGGGCGAATAAACTACTACTCTGACAATCATCATCATCATAATAATAATTACAGTTTTTCGAAGTCTACTGGTGAACATAGGCCTCTTCATAGATTGCCCCCATTTGGGATATTGGCAACAACGACGCTTGGCGGGGCAGTTTGGTAACCGCCGTTTTTATTTTTTTAGTTTTTACCATTTTCCCTCTGTTGCATCTTACGACATATGGGTTAGTGGATATTCTGACACCGCTACTACACGGTAGACTCCATAATTTGCAGCATTTACTGCTTTACAAACGAATCCTGTGGAACAATGGCGGCTTGACCATTCCTAAATGCTAACTCAAATTCGCGCAGACTAGTTATCAGTAGCATAGTAGCAGCTTGTAGCGGCGCTGTCGTCGCGCCACAACCGAAACACACCGAAGCTTAAATCACGCTATCAACATTCCGAATCATAAACAGAATATATAGAACATCTCCGAATTATCACACGGAGCGTTGGCTGCTCCCCGGGCAGAACACCTTGCCCGGCGGGAGATCTCCTCTTTTCCTTCCACGGCCACAGTGGTGACTAACCGACGTGATCTGAACACGCAACCAAACAACCTTCGGAAACTTCAAGCTTCATCATCGTCATAGAATACCCCACCCATTCGCTTCCGAGCAGATATAAACTGCAGTCTTCATATCCTGCAAGCCATCTAGCTTCACAAGGTTCATCGCAGCACTGGAATAATAATGCTTCCTGTTCCTTCAAGCTACTCTCTGCGCTACAGTGTTCGGCACGGCTCTGCGCCTTACTGCTCGCCTCTGCTTTACGGCACTCTCGCAGATTACTTGCCTTCTTCTCGACTCACCGCAGACTACAAGGCAATCTCCTGGCACTTGCACATTCGTCGGCAACGAGGCTGCACTATCGACCTCCGGTCTGAGCAGGGGGGTGATGTGGCGGCGCTGTCGTCGCGCCACAACCGAAACACACCGAAGCTTAAATCACGCTATCAACATTCCGAATCATAAACAGAATATATAGAACATCTCCGAACTATCATATGGAGCGTTGGCTGCTCCCCGGGCAGAACACCTTGCCCGGCGGGAGATCTCCCCTTTTCCTTCCACGGCCACAAGCTTAACGACGTGAACAGTTCACTTCTCGCTGTTACATTTATTTATTGCGGTTAAAAGTTGCGTGATATTATAGTAACAAACACCTTTCCTTCGCTGCAACTATATAATGGTTGTTACACGAATCGGCTCGACTGGGAATGTCCACATGTGGTAGAACCACGCTGCAGCGATATTTCGTAAAGTGAGTGTAAAGAATTAATAAGTCTAAATTTATATTTTTAATACAGTTGCTCAAAAAGTGGCGTATTGCAGGGACGTATAGCGTTCGGGATGTTGGCTATTACATACTCGAGCTTTTTCTTTACCTTTTCCGAACTCGTGCGTTCTCTTTCCCAACTGTCAAAATAATAAAAACTACCCCACGATACAGGGGAAAATCCTAGTGTAGGGGTAACGTTTTTTGAAAAAAAAAAGAAATGTCAATCAAAAAGAAAAAACCAACCAGAAGTTTTTACTAAAAAAATACATAGAAGTTTTTATGATTCATGCAAATATTTCTAAAAAGAAGCTACTAATTCGTTTCCATATCAGATTTAATGATTTGATTCAATGAGTTAGGTTAGGTTTCATTTCATTTCATCTCATTAAATTTCATTTTAATTTCATATCAATAAAAAAATTCTTCGCAACTGTATTAAAAATAGTTGTTCAGTACACGTGCGGAAGCGTCATTGCAACTTGTTCCGACTGTCAACCCTCACCTTCGAATGCGCCTCGGCTCGGGTAAACGTTTGTCGGAACTCTTTGCAATGACAGGCATTCCGCACTCGTAATGAAATAAACTATTTTAATTGAGGATGTAAAAAAATGTCTATAAGACACAGCATCCACTTACCATCATGTTGTCATTCTTGTTTTACATAAAAACATTTCTTAAGAATAAAACCAATCTAGACAAAATTGGAAAGTAAAACATTATCTCAATACAAAATTTTATCTAAATCCTTGGAGCCGTATCAGAGAAACCAATTACATATACACAAGAATTACTTACTTAAAGTAGATATAGGATTAGCGTGGATACCAAGTGGTGGATTAAGGATAGCTGAAAAGGATAAAGAAAAGGCGGACTTAATGCATGAGCATTTTCTACCAGTTTTCATATTGTACTATATTATACATTAATTTGATAACGTTAACAAATGAATTAAATTCTCAAGGTTGTTAAAAAATACAACTGTAAAGATAATGGAAATGCCGATATTGAAATTAAACTAATTCCACGAGTTTCAATGCCCTTAATTTAAATTCATTTTAATTTCCTTTGCAGTCTACAAAGGACTTTATATTGAAAACATTAGCATTTAGCATTGCTTTCTCCAAACGATTTTTAAAAGTTCACCGGTGATTGGAGTTACAGAAAAATATCAATATTATTATTGTGAATATTACTCCTAACTTGATTATACACAATATATTACTTGAATGTGGAAACTGCTTTTGAGGTAAATTACATTTTGAATTGTTTGTACACATTTTAATCAATACGTTGTATATTTCTCTGAAATATATGTAGCTTTTCATTGTGACTGTGTTTTTTGGAATTTAAGCCTTTTGAGCGATTATTATACTTACCTTTATTCTGTCCTTTATTTAGTAATTTGAATGTTACGGAAGCAGGATTATCTTACTTAAATGTTACTAAAACCATTTAATGCAAAATATTCAAAAATAGTAAAAAAGCAATCTACATACGTCTTACAACTGTGTACGGGGTTCCTTAATTATCCTGTTTTCACATATCCACATTTTTTTATATTTACTCAGACATTAAGGTTTCCCCGGGAAGTTATTCTTCATAACTTCACTGAGCACGTGGAAAATAAGCAAATTTTAAGTTTTCTTACTGGTTTCATTGATCCTTACGTTAATCGTACAGTTTTTGCTCCTATGTTGTAAAATCTTACAGCGAACTACACGGCTCTCATATTTGTTTAAATAAAACTAATACAAACTGAAAAGAAACTATTGGAACGTTGTGGACCACATCTAGCTAGTTATAAGTTATTCAATGATATCATGAACTTGATACAAAAGAAGTTGGTGAAATATTGATATGCCGATAGAGACCAAACAATTCAATTAAAGACTTTTTCTGTTAATCACAGTTTTGTTAGTAATTTTGCTATAAATGTACATTTAAGATAAATCATCCTGACAATGGCCACCGGTCTGGATATTTTAACTTTGACAATTTTTAAAGCTGCAAGAATAAGTATTCAATATAATTCTCTTTAATTTCATAAGGTACTTATGTTTAGTTATTAATATCGCCAAATGATCTCTATTAATACATTTGGTCAAGCTATATCATGATATAATCAGCAAACAATGTTAAATTTTATAAAATGCTACCATTTCACGCAATGATCTACTATTTTATGGTATTATTAGTTCCCAGATCAGTTTATACTACATCTATTTAAACTATAGGGATAATTCGAGTTTTGCAATAATTTCAGTTCTTTATCAGTTTATTTATAGATTAAAAAACTAATACGAATTAAAACTTTAAATACATTAGAAATTAAACTTAGACACATCTTATATTTTATGATTTTCGATAAATTGCACTTTATTATCATACATTTATTTATTCCTAGTAAAATGAAATAAAAGAACTGAGAAATTTACGTTAAAATTTTAAATCCATTTTGAATTTAATTATTAAAACATTAATGTAAGTTATTTATATTATTTTATTAGTAAATGGAGGCAAAATATTACTACTTTTTGTACTTAC